GATAGCTTCTGCTGTGTTCTTGGAGATGTTGACAACAGTTAATTGCCTTAACTGCTAGAAAATAGAGCTGAGAAACTAGAGCAACCATTTTACGTTCAAATGGCTTTACTATATTTAGAATGTGAACCCACATTTCAACAGGACTGTAAGTCCCAAAAACTATGAAGTCTCTAGAAGTGACAAGTTCCTCTATATTCACTACATATATAAATAAAACAAACCAAAGTATCACATGACCAAGATAATTTATTAAATGCGCCAAAAGGAACAGACATGGAAAGCAGGTATCTTATACTTAAGCATCCTGCTCTATCAGACCACTTAGCAGTACTGCAAATAGTGACATAAGCTACACATCTTATCATCAAGGAACATCACTACCACCACTGTATCTGGAATCCAGCACCTAGATTGCCATGAACTTTTTACTAGCAGTCACAAAACCCACCATTAAATAGCAGTAACAGCATAAAACTCCTTTTATTTAAAAACTCTTTTATCAGGGCGCCTGGGTGGCTCAGTCAGTTAAGCATCCGACTTCGGCTCAGGTTATGATCTCATGGTTCATGGGTGCAAGCCCTGTGTCAGGCTCTGTGCTGACAGCTAGCTAGGAGTCTGGAGGCTGTTTCAGATTCTGAATCTCCCTCTCTCTCTGACCGTCCCCTGCGTGCTCTCTCTCTCTCTCTCTCAGAAATAAAACATTAAAAAAATAAATTTAAAACATAAAAACTTTTACTGTTCCATATTTGAAACACCCAGTATTAAAAGAAAGTAACCGAGGACTTCCATGTTATGAGAATTTCCCAGCCTGCTTTAAACCTTAACCAATAACCATCAACACTTACCACAGACATGACACAAAAAAAAATTCAAGACAGATGTTTACTGTCTCCAGTAGACGCTCCTAAGAATGTATCTGCCTAATGAATACCACCAAACAGCAACTTGCTACCACACTGACCAACTTGTGGTTTATATAAATCATACACTGAATAAACAATAATCACCATCTATTCAATGTTCACTGTATACCACGTATGAGCTAATTACTTTACAAACATTATTTTACATTCTCCTCATAAACACTGTCAGAATAGCTCCATTTTATAGATGAAGAAATGGACGCTCAGGAAAATCAATCTGCCCAAAAACTCAACCAGGAAGCCATTAAATCCAAGATTGGTTGGCTCCCGAGCCTGTGCGTGCTCTCTCCATTGCACCACACTGATTTCTGTCTTTCTAGTCTGCCTGGGTTCTAACTGCAAGTCCATGTTACATGGTAGGTAAGCAAAGGGCCATACCTTTCATAATTCACAATATGGCAATATTGTAGACGTCAGACACCCTATCGTGGTTTTGTTTCAAAGATTCTAACAGAACAAAGGAGAAGATAATCTAAGAAAAATCTTCCCATTTCTGAAGGTGACATTGCATCACTTAACAGAGAAGATCCACCCACCATCATTTGGAGTAACAAGTCATGGTTTCTGGAAATTTAAAAATTGTTTCCTCTAGAAATGAATTTCCAGTCACATTATCATGATAAATAAATCTTCAAATTGGTTATAAACCAACTTGTCTTGGTATTCCAGGGTTCATATTTTCTTCTGGCAGGATCAGTTACATCCTAAAGTACACAACTTCAAAGGTGTGACCCAGATTAGAAAATCTGGAGCTTCCAAAATGACATTTCTAACCCTCAAATGTTCATGCAAGCAAGTGGTTCCAACTCAATATGGGTAGTCAAATTCACAGAAAATTCCCCAATTTCGTTCTAAACAAGTGACTTAACTAGAGTTTTATTCTTTACCTTAGTTCTGCTCACCTATCATTAAGTTATAAAATGGGAAAATAAGAATATTCCAGAACCTCAAATTAAAGTTTCTGAGATAAACTAGAATTGAATACACTTTCAAATAGGAAGTAAACTCTTTGCTTTCTAAGAAAACAAGCCTTTAAAAGTATACCTGACTAGAGTTGGTACTGCCTAATGGTTAAAAACACTAACCATTATGGCCAGATAAAACTTATTGGCTTAAATCTTGATGTCTTAAACTTGCCACTTAGCAGATGTATAACTTTTGGCATGTTACTCAATCTAAGCCTCAGTTTCCTCAAATGCAAAATAAGAATAATCCTTACTCCAGCAAGATTACTGTAAGAATTATTTTACACGTTTAAAAGTGACTGGCAAGAAGCAATTAACTATTGTTACTATTATTTTATTATCAAAAAATGTCTTTGGGGAAGCTCTTCCAAGATTATCATATAGTCTCTCATTCCAAATTTGGTCCCTCATTTCATAATTTAGAACTGAAGTAACTAATTATTAAATACAATCACCGGTGAACATCTAAGTTGCCTTCAAATGCTTGTCCTTAAATACAGCAGTTCAAATATAAAAAAGGATACTGAGAGTTTTGTCCAAGACTATGTTATCGATTAGCTAAGTAACCTTCATCACCAAACTTATCTAAGTGGATTTCAGATTCATCATCCATAGTATGAGACATCAGCTTTCAGGCCCTACAGTACCTACTCTAAAACTAGTTCTAGTTCACTAATAAGCTTCCTAAACAAAAAATAAAACCAGACTGTCACCGTTTGGCAATTTACTTCACTTCTCAAAATTTTTATTTCCTTCATAGGAAAAAGAGCAAAAATTTCAGATGTCATCAAAAATAACATGTCCTTTCCCATACAAAGCTAAAAATTATTTTACTATTACTAGATGATTAAAGTCTATACTCTCAACCATCAAGATGGGTCTTCAGATCTCTGAGCCATTCATTAGCTGCTCATAACCTCTCCAGATACTAAAATGGTAGAATACTTACCTTCATCTCAAAAGTGATGAACTAATGTATTGGAACACTAAGTAGTTATGACCCCACTGAATTACTTCCAAGAGTGGCATGAGAATTAACCCTGAAACGTTCCAGATCAACATGGAATAATGATAATCTCTTTCTGAACTCAAGAAACATAAACACCATATACGTTCTGTGACTGGCACACATTTTGGGGAAAGACTAAATTGCCGGTTTAAAGAAGTTATTTCCTGCTTAGCAGGTAAAAATTACACTGAATTAGGGACGAATTTCCCAGAAAGATAAGGCCAACTGTTTGCTGAAAATAAAAATAATTTCTTCTCACAAGCTGTCATTTAAAGATCTTCATTCCTTTCTTTTTCTCATCAGAAAAAAAACACTTGTTATAAACCAACTGTTTTGGCTGTTGTCACTAAAAAGAAAGTTGATATGAGAATAGTCCAACTTCCGAGGATCCAAAGAACTGCACTTGTTGGATTCCTATCAAGCACTTGAATGAAACACCTCAATATATTGACTTCAAATAACTAAAATTTGCATTTGATCAAATAAATTTTGATCCAACAAATGAAGATGGTATTCTTCTGGATTAGCAACAAATTATTTCACTGCTCTCGGTTCTTCAATACAGAGCTCAAGACTCATCCAGTGATACATCCCAAAAAGTTTTTAAAAAGCAGAATTTTCTGGGAAAATGATTTTCGTATTATCAAGGAATGAGTTATCAGTGACTTCAATGGCACCTAAAGGATACTTACGAATTTGTATGCAGATATTCAAAGGTTAGCTGAGCTCGATTCAGACTGCTATAATTTGTGAAAGCCATGAGTGCGGTGAGGTCTCCAGTCCTGCACCCACTAACCAGGAAATATAACTTTATAATGGACTAGATTTTCCAGGATTCCTTCCAGTAAAGGTTTAGTAAGTCTGTGCCCCTTACTGTTAAACAAGGTTAACTGGCATCTACCCAAAATATATTGAAAGAGACGTCTAAAACTACAATTGATTTCTCTAAGTTTTTTTTATCTTCTTAATGACTACGATGTAATATTCTAGAAAGAATTATGTCATAGATTTGTAGTCTTAAACTTCAGCTTAGGTTGTGACAGTTCAAGGAGTCGAATGTGGATGGTCTTGGAGGAGACAGTATTGGACTTGAGAGATTTTATTACTGTGCCATCTTCCCGTTCTTCGAGCCTTTTTTTTTTGTTCCTCTAAATTACTGACCAGGATATGTGCCACTCTGGAAAAATATCAACTTCTGTCAGAAAACTGGACAGCCACCCATGTCTTCACCAAATATCCTGAGATTCTTAATCAGGCCCCAGGATGGCAGCCACGAAGTCGACGGAGTGCATATGGCGTTAGTTCCGGCTTCACCACCTCCCAACTGAAAGGTCTCCTAATCGCTGACGGCGATTTCCGTTTCCAAAGCCCAGACCAGACCCAGCTTGTGGTCCCGTCGCAATCTCCTCAGGGTACTGTGTCAAATTACCTCACACTGACCCAAAAAAAGCGCCTCAGAATTGACCCGCCCAAATCACCTTAGGCGGGCAGCGCCCCTCCCCCACTTCCCTCAGACAGAGGCCCTTCCAGGGCCTCAGTCCCGAGGCCGCCGCCACCTCCTCCTCAGAGAGGAGTTAGTCCCAGCTTTCAAGGCCCAGATCGAGGGCAGTGCGGCGAGCGCACCACCCGACCCAGTGTTGCCCGGTGCTCAAAGCTGCCTTTGTCCCTCCCCACGGAATTGGAACCCAACAACCGCAGCGCGCTCTTGGAACCATGTGCTGCCTCCGCCTCCGCCGCTGCCGCCGCCGCCGCGAGACCAGCCGCCCACGCGCCGCGCTGGATGTGATGACGACAGGACTCAGCACCAGAGAATTCGGCGTTTAGAGCTGTTGTGCCGCCGTACCCGCAGCTGCCACAGCACCTCAGCCACTGCTTTGTCTCCGCTAGAGCACACAACCCGGTCCGCCTCGCGCACTCCCCGACGCCCCAAGCCCCCGAGGCCTCCGCGGCGTATTAGGCCAATCACAGAGCCACAGCTCCTCCCGCCCCCGCCCTGATGCGACGCCTCTTGATTGGTGGGTAGCGTATCTCCACGTGACCGGATCTTGTTAGCCGGACCCGCCCCTGTCACGTGAGGGCGCGCGCCTCTCTTCCTGCTTTCATGACCCTCTCCGCCATTTAAAGAAACAGTACCGGGGGCGGGCCGAGCGACGCAGCCGGGACGGTAGCTGCGGCGCGGACCGGAGGAGCCATCTTGTCTCGTCGCCGGGGAGTCAGGCCCCTAACTCGAAGACGCCCTGGCGCGCCCTCCCCCCCTCCCCGGTCTGGTAGGGCGAAGGAGCGGGCGCGCGGTCGATCGAGCGATCGGTTGGCGGCTCTTTCTCCTGCTCTGGCATCCGGCTCTTGGGGCGCAGGCCCGGCCGCCGCGGCGCGCGCCCGGTGGCCGTTGGCGCTCGCGCCGCGTCTTTCTTCTCGTACGCAGAACTCGGGCGGCGGCCTATGCGTTTGCGATTCGACGAGGAGTCGTCCGGGTGGTTGGCGGTGGCGGGCAGCTGCTCCGCCCCGCTCCCGGGGAGGCGGCGGCGGCGGGATTTGGCGCGGCCGGGGAGGCGGGGGTGGCCGGGGCCGGCGTGGAGGCCTGGCGCCACCCTTCGGGGCCTGCAAGGACCCAGTTGGGGGGCCAAGAGGGGGCTGGGGGATGGTTGGTGGTGGGCTTTCTACTTTGTCTTTTCCTTCTCATGCCCCCTTAGTGAGGGGCGGGAGCTTTGGCGGCAGCTCCGGGGTGGGGAGACAAGCCCCGGAGTCGGAAGAGCTGGGTTTGCTTCCGGGCCTAGCCACCAGCTGGCCGAGTGACCTTAGGCAAATCACTCTGTAATTTGTCAGCGCCTCAGTTTCCTCCTCTGCTTATCAATGTTTGTGGGGTTGAAAGCGCTTTATAAGCTATAAAGCGTCGGTGTACGTAAGGGATGATTATTGTTTGTAATGGGGTTTTTTTGAGTTGAAAGAAAAGTTAGCAATTGCCCAGTTCTTGGATTTTGAACCTGGGAACCTTGGCTTGGAGTTGGAAGCCCCAAAGTTCCCCCGAAATTGTATGCAGAAAGAGTGGGAGTTGTGCATTTGGGGGAATGAGGATCCATCGTCAGCAAGTTTTCAAAAGGGGGCTGTGACTCAAGAGAGTTAAGATCTACAATTCATTTATGCCACAGGGAGGAAACTGAGGCCTAGATATCATTTGGGACCCTTCACAACCGAATTGAAGCCCCTGTTTGAATCCCTGGGATATGTGAGCTGTTTCTATGCATAATGAATATTTGGGATAACACTCCACTGCTTGGCTTCTATTCTGAGTCCTTTCATTTTACCATGGGGTGCCTGAAGGGTGGCTGATGTGTATGGTATCGTTTAATGGCACCCAATATAAAGCAGCTAAAACTAGAAATGGATGTGTTCCCTAGTATCAAGAAGACTATTTAATCTTTGGCCCAACAATTCTTGGTTTTCTGCTGCTTATACTGGTGCCTAACTACCTTTCTCTTTCATTGACCATTTTCCACGACCATGGTTGTCATCCATTACTTGCTTTTATTTTATATCCTTAGTCTCTGCGGTTGGTGGTGAGCAGGCTTATTTTTAAATGGTGCTGCGGAGTCCGACTAAGTAATGGTGCAGGTGGAATTTTAGCAAGCTGGCTCACTGGAACAGACTAAACCAGTCATGGAATTCCTGAAGATATTTGGGGGTTTATCTTTATTAGTTGAAGGTTAACGTTCTCCGAAGTTTTGTTACGACTTCTGCTGAACTTCAAAATCAGTAGATTTGGAAGTGCTTCAGTGCTTACCTTTTTCCTGGCCTGCTTTGTATTCTATTTGCTTGCAAGTGTGTTACTAAGGTGGCCTAGATGCCAGTTATTGGTTCTTTGTTAATTGTCAGCTGCTTTATCAAATTACAGGCCATTATCCAGCAAACACTATAGAAATGTTTGAACAGTTGTATTTCAAACATTTTCTTTTTGTGGAGTGGTGCTTACCAGTGGTACAGCTCTAAGCAAGTGAACATAAATACATATAAGTGTATTTTGTCTGGTTAGGTGTTCACCTGTTTTGTTATTTCAATGTTATATACAAATGTCTGAGAAAACCAATTGACTCTTCCTTTTACGTAAAGGGCAGAGACAAATGATCTCACTTCCAGAGAAATGACTGTTGTAGAGAAAAACGTGTTGGTCTTTCAGCTCCTTTGTTATTATCTGGATGTACCTCAAAAGAATCTTAAGACTGTGGTGATCTTATAAGATGGTTTCCTCAGGAGAAAGGAGGAAAAAAACAACTGGAACTCAAAAGCTTGAAATTCTGTGACAAAACACAAGATGTCCAGGATAGGAGGCCGAAAAGGTTTCACTACAGTGTTCTGCACTAGCTGCAGCAGATGCTTTTCTGTGTAGCCACGGCATAGACTCCAGATTTCCAGATTTTTAAGAACTGCACCTGGGACCTGAAGAACTCGTCAGGATGTGACAGGGACTCTGGAGCTGAACATATTTGTTTTTGAGTTTGGAGGCTGTTGACCTTGCTTTGAGAAGAGACAACAACAGAGCAAGCACTGCCACCAGCGCTATTACTGGGAATTTGAAAACCTGAGTTTCTGCCAGAGCTTCAGTGCAAGTTCTAGTGATGCTCCATCCAAAGTGAACTACGGTACTTGCCATTTTCCAAACTCTCTTATTCTTACATCTCTGCACTTCCGTTCATGCTCTCTTATCTACCCTAAAATGTTCTCCTCTGGTTCTTCACCTGTCAAAACACTGCCATCTCCTCAATATTCAAGTCAGATGTTCTCTTTTTCATGAGTCTCCCTATCTTTTTTATTTTTTTTTTAGTATTATATCATGTTGTTGTTTACTATTTAGGTATCTATGTGGAGCATACCTTGTAGTTATTTGCAAGCATTTTCTCTCTTTCCAGATAGCAAGCCCCTTGAAAGCAAAGGCTTTGTCTTAAGAGTCTTTGCTGCACATACTACTATAGGTAGTGAAGCATTTCATAGAAAGGAGTAATTTAGGGGCGCCCGGGTGGCGTAGTTGGTTAAGCGTCCGACTTTCGCTCGGGTCATGATCTCGCGGTTCGTGGGTTCGAGCCCCGCGTCGAGCTCTGTGCTGACTGCCAGCTCAGAGCCTGGAGCCTGTTTCAGTCTGTGACTCCCTCTCTCTCTGACCCTCCCCTGCTCACGCTGTCTCTCTCTCTCTCTCCTAGAAATAAATAAAACATTTAAAAAAAAAAAAAAAAAAGAAAGGAGTAATTTAGAGAGTAGGCTATCTCGGAATAAACACTCAGTAAGCATTTGCTTAATTGCTGTGTGGTAAACTAAGTACACTTGATTAGGATAAAGATCACTGGTATGGGCCATGTTTCTTTCTGTGTCATTTTTTTTTTTTTTTTTAATTCTGAATTTAAAAAGATTTAGGGAGCCCTCAAACATGGAAGAAAAACTGATACGTTGCATAGGGATGCAAGGAACAGGGCCTTATTTCCTAGGTACCTATTCCCTCCCACTCAAGATGGAATCTTGTTAAAATGAAAGTTAAAGACAGCTTTTAAGAGTGCAAGGTCCTAGGATAATTTGAGCAAGGCATTGGAAAAGGAAGGACAAAATCTAGGTTGGTATTCTATACAAATTTAAATTCAGTTCTTCTTGTGCCACTTCTCCATGGAGCCACTTCTTTCCCCGCCTGCCAACCACTGCCCAACAACCTGAATACAATCACATTATTCCCCCAAAATATGAGACTTAAGGCAGTTCCTTGTTTGCTGCTTTCCTGAGACAGTTTGTTCTCAAGAGTCACAAACCATTCGCTGCCAGAGAACTGTTTTTGTTCTCCTCATCACTAGTTGTTAATCAGAAGGGCTTTATTATTATTTCTCATTTCCCCATTAATTAGCTTCTTAGTTAGGCTTAATATGAATTAGTACCCATCCGGCAGCTGATAATCCTGACAGCAGACCCACTCTAGTGTTAGGAATCCTGTGTTTATAATTCTGTGCCTTTGTTACCTTACTTGTTTTGTTCCTGTCCCTTCTAGTCCTGTGCCTCCTGATTGCTGAGTGTTCACCTGGACCTTCTGACCACCTCCCTTGTACTGTTCCATCAGCCTACAGATCTGGTACCTGGATTTTTGCCCATGGTGATTCCTTCACCTTACTGCTGAAGAAGACACCATTCCAGTGGACCACTGTGATCCAAGAGGCATTCAGCCATCATGATGTGGCCTTCACCTCCACTCCTCTCCTGTTCTATCCAGATTCAGCACCGCCCTTTATAGTGAAGTCAAACTATTCAAGCCAAATAGCTGAAGCTATTTTATCACAGCAAAGGCCCAGTTCGTTCCATGAGTGTGCATTTCATTTCGTCAGTTAAAGCCTCAGACACACATAATAAATTTGGACCAGGGGATTTTTAGTTATCAACACTGAAGAATGGCAGCATCTTTCAAGAACGGCGTTGGATCATACCCTACAACTTCAAATGATTGCAATTCATGAAGTGTCTAGTGCCCTATCCAGGTCACTGGACCCTTTCTTTTTCTATTTCAAGTCTGTAGTAGCCTACTGAATAGAAAGCAGATATTCTGACCAGCAGATACTGGGATTAAAACAAAGGCACAGTGAACTCACAGCATTTTTGGGATTACTCAGGAACCAGAACTTTTCACACAAATGTAAGAAATTCTACCAAGGAATCCCTTTATCTAACAGCATCTCACAAAGCTCCAATCAGATTCCAGAAAAGACCTCTTGATACATCCAGGTAGAACCTATAATGGTAATCCCTTAATGTTTATATAGCACTTTATAGTTTCAAAGCACTTTTACATGCATAAATCTCAATTATCAAAATAACACAGTAAATTATAATTTCTTTATGCAAATGAGAAAATTGAAGTTTAAAAGATTGTCCAGGGTGACACAGCTACAAAGTGGTAGAGGTCAGGCCTTCTGACTCCCAGTCCAGTTCTCTCCATGGAATTAACTTAGCCTCTACTTTACCTGCAGTGTTAAAATGACTGGAGTTTGGTAACCCAAAAAAAGTTTCCAACTTCCTGATCTGGTGCCCTCAGTCAATCAGGATGTCATAAGAGTAATCTTATGATGGTTCCATATAGGTCAGAATTCCATGGTACTACCCTTAAGGTTTAAGAGCAGACTGTCTCCATAGTGGTAGGTTTATCCAGTCAACATGGCACATGGTCATCTGACAGACTACATAACGTGAAATAGAAAGATACTTCTAGATCCATTGTTCATATAGTCTTCCCAAATTTCCAAATGGCCTAATTGGAAATCCTTTTTAATGTTTTGTTCTTTTTAAAATTAAAAAAAAAAAAGTCTTATTAATACTTTTGAAAACTGAAATCTTATTTATGGTCCTCTGTTCCTCAAAATTTACTTAAAATGAATCCTCTGTTTTTTAGAGCAGTGCTGTTCACATATGTGTGCGTGTATGCATGTATATGGTGCACACATACAACATCTATATGTAGAGCTTCTGTAGTCCTGTAAGGTGGTAAAATAGGTGTCCCGTTCCCCAACTGAGTGTAGCATATTAAAGGATCTCAGAAGGCTTGCAACAAAGCCTCATTGAGCTGTTTAGCCCAGTGTGTACTAAGTTTAATCAAGGACAGACTAATTTTTGGAGCATTCCTTTTAATGTATTTAGAGAAACTGCTTTGGAGCAGTATAGCCAGTGCTTCCTGATTGCCCTAAAGACTTAGGAGTAACGGAATCTTTGAAACCACCACCCCCTTTTTTTGTCAGTAACTGCTTGAATTTGTATGTCTTTATCATCGGGGAGTCCTACATCTTGACCATTACTTCTTATTTTCTGTGAAAGGAACTGCTAGAAAATTTGTGGAGATATAGGAAGGGAATGGGGAAGTTTATTTTGCCCCCCAAATTGGTTGAATTCCGTGACACTTAACAATATACTTCTCTGTCCGTAAAATTGTGCTATAAACCTAGTTCAAGGGCATTGTATCTCAGGTGGGTGAGAAGATTGGGAAGGGAAGGGAAGAGGAAAAGGATGGAGGGAGAAAAGGGGGAGGAGAATAATATTTTCTTGGAATTTGAGTTGTGGCTCATTGAGATCTTCACAGTGATTGAAGAGAAGTCATCTAGCCATAGACTTGGGATAATATTTGCAAAGAAATGAAAGCATTTTGCAGCTGTATGCTGACTGCAAAAATCCCAGTGCTATTGTTGCTTAAAACCAATAGCTTTGTTCACTGATAGTCACAAACACAATTTGAAGCAATCAGAATTTATAGCAGAGTTGAATGTTAACTTCATCATTCTGTAATGTGGCCCATCTTAGGGAAAGAATGAATAGGAAAACACCTTGGCTTACCACAGGCTTTGCTCACAGTTTCTGGTTTCTGTGACCTATTTTTTGTATTTCAGCATTTTGTGAACAACTTACTCTTAGATCATTGGTTTTCCAAAGGCTTTGTGACCATGAAGCCCTTTCAATGAAAACTGTGTGGAACCCCAGAATAAAAGAGAAGCTGCTGTAGATGAAGCAGGAGTGGGGGGCCTGAAACGTGCCACAAGCATCTTCCTTTACCACCATGGTGACCCCTAAGGAGACTTCTTTACAACACCTAGAATTCTTCAGAACACAGTTTGGAAACCACTGCCCTAGACAACATGTGCAACCTGAATGGCATTCTGATCCATACCTCTACCCAACCCAGTCCATGTTCAGTTGATAACTGCATGTTCTTAGAAATACTTACTGTGGGCAAAGTCAGAAAAGTGCAAGAAGATGGGCATATCTTTGCTACCCCAGGGTAGTCAAGTAAGCTGAAAGTGGTATCAAATGGACATAGATTAACAGCCCTGTACCCAAGATGGATTTCAAAAGAGTGGTTCCTGGCATTCAGTATAGTCAGAACAATCCATACGTACTCTACACTGATATTCCCCTTACCCAACTTCTATCACAAACACCAGATGCTCTAGTGGTACTTGAAGTACATAACTTTGACGTCTTGATCTCCTTGGATACCTGAATTGCCAGGTATTGAAGCTGGCACTAAAGTTGATGATGCCTCATTGAGGCCACATTAGACCAACTTGTACATCGGACCTCCCATCATCAGCCATGGTACTCTACTTCGTGTGCAAGGGATAACCATTAACGATGAAAGCAGAACTGAAATTCTGGCAACATTACCTAAAAAGGTACCTGGTTATTCATATTATTCTCAAAACTGCAAGTCACTATGACTCAACCAGTGGCAGTTATGCTGCTCCTTGGTTTTTATTCAGTTTAACTGCTGTTTCCAGGATAAATGAGCTAATAAACTTAAACAAAATTTCTTCCATCACTGGCATACCTGCTACAAAACTATGAATTCTCTGCTCTAACTACATGTAACATCTGATCCACAAGAGACAATTTTTGAACATCCTCTCATGTATGTGATTTTAAATGTGACCCTTTGGAAATTTTTCTTCTAACCAATGAGAGATGTTCTTTTATGATGGACCTTTTGATGTTGGTAGGTACCATCAGCTACAGGTGTTAGGGATATTTGGAGGTAGGCCTTTTGACTAGGCCATAGTAGCTTGCTTGCTGGGCATCTCAAGTTGCATATCTACCTTTTTGGTGAAAATGTAGACTTGAAAAAAAAATCTACAAAGCCTGCAGCTAAGAATTTTATCAGTAGACTCAAGAGCTTCCTGCAGCTTCTAATGTCACAAGACCACAGTGTCTTGTCCTTGTGGATATTTAAATGGAATTTCATCTGTCTCAATACTGTTATTTTACACTGATTCAGAGTGGCTGACTTCATTCATTGCTATGAGATAACTCTCAGGCATTAAGACACTTGACCTGTTTCTGCAGGATGGATTCAATTTATGAACTCCCACACCAGATCATGTCAAACAAGTAGACTTCGACTTTTGTCATGAGAAAAGTCTTATTCTCTTACTTCACAGTCTACTTAAGGGGCAGCTGTCCTCAACTACTTTAATGAATGCACTGGCTAAATGTTGGGAATTATTTCTTTATATCTTTGTCTCTTATTCTCTAACCCTGATTACATGACTCTGTCTACAAATCATCAAATAAGGCCTGCACATCCTCACCTAATAGAAATCTAATGATTAGCTGCTTGTATATACAACTGTTGTTTATTATTAAGAAGTTCTCTACAAACTCCATTTTTCTACTGCCTTCAAAACGTCAGCTCAATTTTCTCTTTCTCCTGTACTTTACAGAAAAAGACATTGATATACACTGCCAGTCATTCCCTTTAATTCTGTCAAACGCAGGCAAAATGAGGGGCTTAAGGTGAGGATGATCATCTGTTCAAAAGTCTAACATACTCTGTGTATAAGAATCAGTAGTTGAAAATGCAGAAAGCCTAAAGCTCAAACTTAGGATCTTACCTACTGTCTCCCTGCCTCAGATCTCAATATAAATCTCTTAGCAGCACCACTCAACCAATCTAAGGCCTTGTTTAAAAGCTGATTCTCAGAGATGGACTAAGTTTCAGAAGATGGAGGCTTGATTACCAAAGAGAGTAGGGCCAACCTTGATGAACCTGGCTCTCCCAGCCTTGTCATTCCCAGATGTAGCATAGACTCCTCAACAGAACCTCAAGTCTGAATTGAGAATATAGCCTTCTATTGAGCTGAAAGTTATTGGGCAGATAAACAGGAAAATTAAAGCTGCTATACCTGACTGGCCCTTTAAGATCAGAAAATGGTATCCAAAGTCAACCATATGGAATAACCCTGGAAGACTCAGGGTAAAAGCTAATTTACAGAGCTTCTATTAATCTGCCCATTCTTCTAGATCACATCCTGGCTATTGGTGTGGCTAACCTGCTGAAGATATCCTATTTACCTGTTTACCTGACTCAGGCTCATCTGCCTTTTTGACACGTTGCAATCAGACTGGCCGTGCTTGAGAAGACTGCAACTGGTATCAGCCTATCTTACACCCAGTTCCACCAGGGGATTTTGAACAGAAGCAACCTGCACCTCACCTTCTTCCCACCCCCAGGACTTACTGTTAACAACTGGAAGGACCATGCTATATACTCCTTAACCAGCAGCCTTTTTTTTTTTTTTTAAGTTCAGAGTAAGCCTCTATGCCTATATACATGTGATCATTTTCAGCACCTGAGACCCCTTCTACCAGATTTTAAGGAGTACAGCAGATTACAAGCACTGTCCATTTCTCTCTTCTGCAATAATACAGAGTTGACAGAAATGTACCATTTCAACTTAGCAAAAGACTAAAGAAACACAAGAAGAGCTTTCCAGTGAACTTAAAATTTACCACTGGCTTCACTAGTCTAACAGAACTATTTGCCAGTGGGAGGCTAATTGTCCTGCTTCATGTCAGCAAGATGGTTGGGCTCTCAGATTCAAGGCCACTGAGTTTACTTATATTGAAACTTTATTGCATCATCCAAAGTATGCTATTGGATATGATTATTCCATTCAAATGGATTACAAGCTTCCTAAGTATAGGACAAGCTTACTCTTCATGATGTTTTTTCAGAATACTTTTATTGTCAAGAAAATAACAATGCCAGCTGTTAGGCTTAAGCCTAACCTTAAGCTTCATGGGTGGATATGTAATTCAGACCTGATCAATCAACATAGTCCTTCTCCTTCACCGTAGTGATTGGTTCTGGAACAGCCAGGTGATTCAAGCTGGTCCAGTGATAACTCAGCCCTAGGAGTTTTACTGAAATGTGAAGGAGAGGCTCAGAAGCTCTCTTTACTGAGATTCCTTGGCTTTGTAGTATGAAAACTTCTAACCAACAGGCCCCACCAAATCAAATGAGCCAGAGAATTAAGCCAGTGCAAAGGAAAGCAGAGCCAAATGATGGAGAGACTTCAGTCCTGATGACAATGTTTGTGCCCCTGGATCCAACCGTGCCTGAAGCTAGTTTATCCCTATGGACTTTTCAGTTATGTGAGCCAATAAATACCCTTTTTTGCTTTAAGTTACTTTGAGTTGGGTTTCTGTTGTTTAAAATTGAGTCAACCCTGACTAAATACTGTCTACCAATATCAAAACTTGACAAATCCAAATATTTATTAAACTAGAGGTCATGGCCACACTGAAATTATTTTCCATGCTGGAAGACAAAGTGAAACAGGAAGTGACAATGTTTAAGTTACTACAGAAGCATAAAAATTACATAACAGAAAAATATAGAGGAAAACCTAAGTGTTATCCATAAAGGATTGGTTAAATAACATATGGTTCAGCCATATAAGGAAATCTACATGTCTGTTAAAATTAATAAAGTACATGTATTGTGTATGGACATGGGAAAATGGCCATGATATATATTAAGTGAAACAACTATTAATAGAAAAATGTATAGTGTGAACTCACTTAAAAATTTGTGTTTATGATGCATAGAAAAGTCTACTAATGGCTTTCTTTGAATAGTATAGATTACATGAGACTTTCAACTTTATACATTTCTGTATTTGAATATTTTACACTACTCACATTACTTTTAAACTTTATTTAAAAAATAAAAGAATTTTAAAAATTAAGTTTAGTGCTTATTGTTTGACTATGGCAAGTTACTTATCACCAAGCCTGTTTTGTCAAAAAATACAAAATACTTATTTTCCTGTTAGTATTTAGATAAATATATTCATCATCCATTACTGAAGCTGACAGTCATTTTTACGTTGTTTGTAGAACTCAGAATTTAGTGATTATTTTTTAATTTGTCAAGCCTATCTCTTTAAATGTCTGAGTGTATTTGGATTATCAGAATATCAGTATCAGTGTTCATCAATGATTCACCAGTTCTCAACTGATCTTAATCTATTAAGGCCTATTGCACTGTTCACACTGGGTAGGTAAAAGGGGAAAAAATCATTTTCTTTGAAATTCTTGATTATTCTTATCTCCCTACAGTCCAGTTCGATAGTGATGTTTTTATTGCAAAGACCAGTACATATACATCTTACCTGAACTTTGAGTAGACTGCTCCAACATATCTTGGCACACTCTCCCCCCCTTCCCCCCCATAGGTGTTGTGACATTTCTTATTTTCTTCCTGCCTTTCTGGCTATTTTCCATTGTAGATACTTTTCTTCTCCCCATCATTTAAATATTAGTGTAATGGTCATCCATTGTTTTTTGCCTCACCTGAATCATTTCTCCTTTCCTTTAGTGATAGCTCCCCATGTTCACTTTTCTTTGGGGATGACTTTGAGTCTTAGGTGACACAACATCAGGAGCTGAGTCATTCTGATGGTAGTGTCCCAAGGAAACTGTATCAGAATTGGTACAAGGACATTCTTCATGGTGCCCTGGTTCCTGTTTTCAAGGCCCAGCTATCCCAAGTTTTACTTTGATTCTATAGACCCCCATATATCCATAAAATATATTCCCTTTTCAGTTGTCAGCCAAAGCAGGTTTCTATTGCTTGCATCCAAATTACTGAATGATAACCAGCATTGATAACCAGAGAATTAAATAAGCTTCAGACCCTGAGGAATATGGAAGATCTGGAATTGAGACTGAATTAAAGGCAGCAAAAACTTGCTCTGTGTACCAGGGTGGGGGAAATGAGCAGTTCATATTGGCAAAGGAGCCAGTAAAGGCACTTCCCCCTTGTCATTTGGAAGCATGAGCCTGGTGATGGCAAAATTTAAATAACCAGGTAGCTGTTGACAATAGGACAAATTGAAATGGATAAGAAAGCTCTTTACTGGCAGTGTCTTCTCACTAATGTATACAGGTGTGTTGGTGATGGTTATATATGCCAGCAGATGCATAAATTGTACATTTCAAAGTGTGGTTTAAGAACTAAAGGAGACTATCGCCCAGAAATCTTAGGTTTGACACTGGGTGTGATATGTGGAAATTATTTTTTAAGTTCTCTCCTAGGAGAAAAGAATCCATTTTCTGCAGTACATTGAATAGGAACATTTATAAAATTATTCATGTTGAAGAATGCATGTCCTGGATAGCCACAGGATGTAACAAAATGGACAGCTACATTCATCAGCCCAGTGCCTCTTTCCTCTTCCTTTGAGAGCAGCACTTCACCTTCCCTTGGGAAAGCTGCACTTCTCCCATACTACTAGAAACTAATTTGTAAAAGGCATTTGAGTTCATGTTACTGATATTTCCTCAGTTTCCCAGATGTCCTGATTTTCTTGAATGTTAAACTTCTCTAATTTGGGGGAACTGCCTTATATCCTTCCAATAAATTACGTTGGAAGTGCAGGATATCCCTGTATAACCATATGCAGAGGACCTTATAGCCAGGGTCAGTTTTTGTTGCTTACAGTCAGAGAGCCTCAACTGAATCAGTGCCCCTCCTGTGTCTTGAGCCTTCTTGCCCTACTCTGAAAAGTCTCCATTTCCGTGGCTTTGGTTTCCAACTGTATGTTGGTAACTTTCAGGTTCCTATTTTCAGCCCAGATACATTTCCTGGGCTCAGATCTGAATGTCCACCTGGCATTTGGATATCCCCTTGCTTGATGAACACACAGATACTTCACACTGACCCCATCATTTTCCCCTCAAAATCTGCTCTTCTAGTGTTCTGTTCTTGATAAATGGCACCACCCTCCACCCTGTTTCTCAAACCAGAACACAGGAATTATTTTTGTCACTTCCTTCTCCTCTGTCACTCCAGACATCCCTGTAAGTCATTAAGCTGTCTTAGTATGTAAATAAATATACCTTAAAACCATCTCTGCTTCTACATCCTTGTCCAAGTATCTATTGCTAGGACTACTGTGATGCCATTCTAGTGTCACTGCCTCTGCTGTTGTCCTACTACAGTCTGTTCTTTGCACAGCACCTGGAGTAATCTTTGATACACAGATCTGATTGAGTCACTCCCCTGCCTAAAACCTTTTAATAGTTCCCCAATTGTTTCAGAATAAAATCTCAACATTTATTCTGGAACTTTATCCATGTGTACAAGGCTTTTTGTTATCTTAAGCCTTATCTTTCACCACTTCAAACAGGAACAGCTCAATGTATATTGGAGTTTCCTATATTTCATATGAAATATACATTAAACACATTCCATGTGTTTTTTAAATATTTTTAAAATTTTTTAAATATTTATTTTTGAGAGAGCATGAGCAGGGAAAGGGCAGAGAGAGAGGGAGACAGAATCTGAAGCAGGCTCTAGGCTCTGAGCTGTCAGCACAGAGCCCAATGCAGGGCTTGAACCCATGTACTGCAAAATCATGTCCTGAGCTGAAGTCGGACGCTTAACTGACTAAGCCTCCCAGGCACCCCTAATATTTATTTGAGAGAGAGAGAGAGCATAAGCAAGGGAGGGGCAGAGAAAGAGAGACAGAATCCGAAGCAGACTTTAGGCTCTGAGCTGTCAGCACAGAGCCTGACATAGGGCTTGAACCCATAAACTGCAAGATTATGACCAGAGCCGAAGTCAGATGCTTAACTGACTGAGCCAAGAAGGCACCCTGGATTCTCTTTTGTAAAGAGAAGATCCCATTAAAAGAATAAAATCAAAATCCATTGGTATTCAGAACTACCCAGTTGAGGGCATCTGGGTGGCTCAACTGGTTAAGCGTCTGACTTCAGCACAGGTCATGATCTCACAGTCTGTGAGTTCAGGCCCCACATCAGGCTCTGTGCTGACTGCTCAGAGCCTGGATCCTGCTTCGGATTCTGTGTCTCCCTTTCTCTCTGCCCTTACCCTGCTCAGGCTCTGTCTCTTTCTCTTTCTTAAAAATAAATAAACATTGAAATTAAAAAAAAAAAAAACCCTACCCAGTTGATTACCTATTTCTGTGAATACTATATTTGCTTCCAAATATCTCCTGCCATGAAGTTTCTAAATTAAATCTCATATGTTACTACTATGTAGAGCCACAGTAAGTGTCTAGAAAGCAACCAGATCCCTAACTCACAAGATACACAATGCTAGAGGGACTACAAATTTAAGTGTTAAAATGAAATATTGGAAGCATTTTAAGGAAACTTTTTGTGATCTTATGATGGGGAATTCCAAGCAAAACAAAATCTAGAAGCCCTCAAGGAAATGATAGACATATTTGACTACATGAACAACTTTGGGAAAAACAAATCTTGGTTCCTTTTTTTTTTTAAGTTTAATTTTTGACAGACAGAAACAACACGAGTGGGGAAGGGGTAGAGAGAGGAAGACACAATCTGAAGCAGGCTCCAGGCTCTGAGCTGTCAGCACAGAGCCCAATGTGGGGCTCAAACCCACAACCCTGAGATCATGACCTGAGCTGAACTTGGCTGCTCAACTGACTGAGTCACACAGGTGCCCCAACAAATCTTGGTTCTATAAAAGACATGAGAGATGGGAGAAAGTTTCCAACACAAGTGACAGATTGAGAATTAATATCCCTAGTATACAGAAAATTACTACACATTGATTACTACAAAACAATCATCCCAATAGGCAACTAAAGAAGTCTGAAAGATCAACAATAATCACTAACCATTTACTTAGAGCTTGCTATGTGCTAGAGACTGTTTCAGGCACTTTACAAGTATTATTTACCCTTGGAGATAGGTACTGTCCCTATTTTACAACTAAGAAAACAGGAGTAAAGTAACTTGCCCAAGTCATACAATAGGTGGTCCCGTGTCTTTATGACACAAACTCAAGTAATTTGACTCTTGAGTCTGTGCTTCAAATCATTATTCTCTCTAGCATTTCATTAAGCATATGAAAACAGATCAAGTGTACACATGGTCAGTGAGATGTAAATCAAAACCCAGTACCATTGGTCACCTGTCAATCAGATGCAAAATTTAAAAGAACAATGACTGCCAGTGATGGCAATAATTAGGATAAATGACAACTTTACACTGTTGGTGAGAATGTGGATTGTTCTAGTCTTTTAAAAAGGTAATCTGGCCATATCAATTCTAATTTTTAAATGCATCTTTTAACCTAGCAGTCCCACTTTGAAAAACTATCTCAAAGAACTAAAAGCACTGAGATATAAGG